CAGCTTTGGCGAAATAGTGTTGCCTTGTCAGACTCCCTTCCCAATAGGAATGGTCAGGGGGCGATGGAATAGCTGCATCATTGTTGTACAGACCTTTAGCAGTCGGCTAGTGTCCTCACGTAAGCTGCTTCCACTCCTTGATCGACTAGCGCAGACAGGATGGCGTTGGTTTCGACGCTGTCAAAGGCTTTCTCGTAGTCGACGAAGGTTAGGACGAGAGGCAGTCGGTACTCCCGACAGACTTCTATTATCCTCGAAACCGTCTGGATGTGGTCCATGCAGCCGAATTTTCTGCGAAATCCAGCTTGTTCTTGGGGTTGGGCTTCATCCAGTGTCCTTGATATGCGTGCGAGGATAATCATCGTGAAAAGCTTGTACATCACACTCAGCAGGCATATTGGACGATAATTTCGAAGATCTTCCCGTTCACCCTTCTTGAAAAGAAGGACGGTTCTTGACGTTCTTCACTGGACGGGAATCCTCTCCTTCTGAAGGTAGGATGTCAGGTGCGACGCGAGAATCTCGTGTAGACGTTGTCCTCCGGCTCGCAGAAATTCGACGGAAAGATGGTCTGGTCGTGGAGCCGTGGATGTCTTCATGGTCTGAATCGCCGTGCGCACTTCAGCAGGTAAAATTCGTGGTGGTACTTCTCCAGTGGGAACAACGGGCACCGGCACGGGTGTTGATGAGCGGAGGAGGTTGGTGTAGAAGCAGAGGTGCGATAGTGGGAGCCGATTCTCCCCCTACCTTCACTTTTGAGCTGGTACGGGGTGACCACCTTCACTTTCGGAATAAAAATTTTTTCGCTGGACGACAAAGAAGGAAAATAAGCAAAACAAACGCAAAAAAGATTATTGAAACATATATTTATGTATACGGCGGCATATATTTTAAAATAAACGTTTTTAGTAAATGGTGTATTTGGAAGTAAAGCTTAGCAAAACTGTACGGATTTTATTAAGCAAATTATGTTATAACGTATAGCGAAGGAAGTAGGTCGATCCAAGCAGTAACGGCCGAGAACCAGAATTTTGAATATTTAAATAGTGAAAAATCATGCGAAATTTCCACTGTTATAAATCTATTGTTTGAAGATGTCAGCAGTTGCGACTTCATAGGTTTTGAAGAGTAGATGTTGCTCTATCAGCTAGTGAAGGAATCGGGTCGATTTAAGAGATAGTCGTTGAAAACCAGAATTCTAAAAATTTACGCCATTTTTGCGTGTTTTTTGACTGTTGAGAGTTAAACTCTTATAAATCTTGAATTTGGAAGTGTATGATGTTGCGACTTCATAGGTTTTATAGACTAAAGTTTGCCTTATCAGAATATGTCTTGTCCGTTCCGATCCATTGAAACACCTCCGAGATCCAGAGTCATGAAAAAGCAGGTAAAAAGGAGCTTTTTGAACTTCAACAGCTCATAACTTCTTCAGAACTGCATGAATCATGCCTAAACCCCCACATATTATATATCATCTGAAAGCTCTTGATGAGAAGAATCTAACCTATGAAGTCGTAACATGATTCATGCAGTTCTGAAGAAGTTATGAGCTGTTGAAGTTCAAAAAGCCTCAACGACTATCTCTCGAATCGACTCGATTCCTTCACTATCTGATGGAGCACCATTTACTCTTCAAAACTTATGAAGTCGCAACTGCTGACATCTTCAAACAACAGATTTATAACAGTGGAAATTTTGCATGAAATATCACTATTTAATTAATCAAAATTCTGGTTCTCGGCCCTGTTACTGCCTAGATCGACCTACTTCCTTCGCAGTATGTTGTGACAAAATTTACTTAATAAAATCCGTACAGTCCAACAAACTTTTACTTCCAAATACACCATTTACTTTACGTCTATTTTAATTTTTTATAAATAAAATTTATAAATATTTTTAATATTCATCGTATCTGTGGCCCTAAAGAGGGCCGTTGGGTCACAGTTTGACCTAGAAAGATAGCTCTGTTCGTCCGTTCTACCCCCTCCCCCCGCACCCCCCCCCCCCGTCGACGTTTTTGGGAGGTGAGTGTCCGACACTACCACCTTCACTTTTGGCAGGCCAGTGGTAGCTGGGACCACCTTCACTTTTGGTGGGCCCGGCTCCCCCCATCGCACCTCTGTGTAGAAGTTCTTCGCGATAGATTCCATCTTGTATCGGGAAGGAGTCGGAGTCCCGTCTTCCTTCAGTGCAGCCAGCGATACGTGATATTCAAAGAGGTCCCTTCGGCAATTCTTGAGACTTCGTCTTTCTTCGGCTGCTTCCAGTATGTTGGCTTGCTTGTACTTCCTGAGATCCTACTGAAGCTGTTCTGCAACTGGCGTTGGCTATCAGTCGCTCGAGATGAGTTGCATTGGGATCCGCCTCAGAAATCTTCTTCTTTCGAGCAATTCCTTGGTGTCTTCGAAATGCGTTCCAGGTCCTTCTCAGAAGTCACTGAGGCGCACTCTCCGCAGGCTCGCAATCCTTTCAGAAGCCGGTCGTAGCCGTACGTTGGGTCCTCCTCGATGGGCCAGTCACAACTTGATATGAGTTCTTCCAGCCTGTTGCCGTCATAAACGACTTCCTTCCTTTTCGCGGCTCTGTGACAGACGTTCTTTTCCAGCCTTCGGCTGAGTCGTATCTTCGCTCGAAGGAGGCGGTGATCGGAGCCACTGCAGAAGGATGGAGCTACTGAGACATCGAGCAAGCTCCACCTTCGGTTGGTGAGAATGTGGTCGATCTCCGCGTGAGTCGTTCCGTTGGGCGATTCCCATGTCCACCGGCGATGTTCTTTCTTCATGAAGATGAGATTTCCATGGAGGAGTCGTGTGGCGGAGAGAAGCCCAACGAGACGGTTGCTGTTTTCGTTCCGGAGCCCACATCCATACTTCCCGATCCTATATTCCTTTTCTAGTGGCATCTCGATTTTCGCATTGAAGTCGTGGAGGAGGTCGTCCGCAACGAAAAGTCTTCCACAACATACTTGCAGATGGACTTTTTCGTTGCGGACGACCTTCTCCACGTCTTCATAGAAAGCATCTACTGAGTAGTCTGCTGCTGCTGTTGGAGAGTAGATGTAGATGATGCTGATGGTCTTCTGACGTGGTGGGTGTAGTCGTAGGATGGCTAGTCGGGGTGATAGGATCTCGTGCGAATTGACAAGATGGACGATAGATGGATGGACGACAAAGCCAACGCCTCCCACGTTTCGTGATGGAACCTCCTCACCACGAGTGAAGAGCGTCCCATCATTCATCTGTCGCACGTCCTTCTTCCTGAACTTCGTTTCCTGCAGAGCGATGATGTGGTACTTGATGTGCTCTGCAGCGTCGAGAAGAGCGTGGAGGTCGGCGTTTGTGGAGACTGTCCTGGCGTTGTAGGTGCAGAGCATGAGGCAGTCTCCGTGGCGTGTCATCCGGGCAGACGTGTCGTTTTTGTCCAATCCAAAAGGCGCCCTGAGGACCCTGACATCAGTCTTGCTACTACCCGGCGCCGTAGGCGGGATTAGATGTGCAGGGTTTCTTTCTATTCTTCTAACTGGTAGAGTAATGAAATTTTTCCTCTACAAGAGCAGACTTACTAGGCCAACTCTTGATTTCCATGGGGCGATCGCTGACCCCGGGCTTGGAGAGGGGAGAACCGCCTAGCGACCTGAAAACCAGACGGCGGTGGATCTGGCCTGGCCGGCTCTTAGCTAGGCATCTGGCCGAAACCGGAAACGTCGAACTCCTTCACAGCTTGGGAGGCCCTTCCAGATTATACACTCGGCTGTGCATCGCAGTTCGACACCCAGTGTCACCCCCACGCCACGATGAGGGGACCGACCATTGTGGGGTTTGAAGGTCTTTTATTGTGCTTAATGACGTACACGATGGTGGGTCAAAACATTAGTGTACTAGTATATTGCATGATGGGCCTATCTGACATTCTCAATGAATATCATGCTATCGCTAACATCAGAATTACATTGATAAGGACTCAACGCCCCCCCCCCCCACCTCTCCCTGACCCCTCAATACGACCCCAAGTGTCATGCCACACCTCACGCTTGACCCTCCCTATAACTTGCTCATTTTCTAGGCGAAAAACCCATCAAAATTTGCCTGGACACTACCTTCAACACCCGCCCTGCCCCGACATGTATACATCTTATCGTTAGTCAGTAAAAGGATAAAGTTGCTGTTCATAGTAGCCTGCAGATTTCATTGGCAGATTTTGGTTTTTTTGACCTGATAGGGGTCTTATCTTCCGGGGGAGAGAAGAAAGAGGAAAACTTTTACCATGGAACAGGTTCTTTCTTTTTGCTTTGGAATGAAATAAGGGAGAACTTTTTAATTTAGCGTTCCGAATATGAAGCTGAAATCTTGTTTGTCTGTCAGTCTGTCTCTATGACTAGGGGACGCGAGACCGCATTGCACATGTTGTCTAAACAATCTTAATCGTGTACTTAGCAGGTTTTACTTGTGTTATCTCGTCCAGGTTTATGTTAACAATGTCCGCAATGCGGTTTCGCATCTTCTAGTCGTAGAATAGCTGATATATGTCTGCGTGTACGTATGATCCGAATAGAAAATTTTATTTATGATCCAATCCGGGCCAAACTTTGCTCACATATACCTCGCGGCGGAGCGGGTGTCGTAGGCTATTTTCGTTATCGATTGATATCGATTCTTATCATTGCAATTGAGCTACGGGCTGGGAGCGGCACAGGGAGGTAAGTGAGCATGCTGATTATGGATATGAATTATTTTTGAAGTCATCTATTACTTTCATCGATTTTATCGACTTTTTGTGGAGTTTGAGCTGTGGGCTGGGAGGTTACGGGAGGTGAGTGAGTTAAGTGGGTTGAGACAAGGAAAAGTTGTACAGGATTGGGTATGGTGACTTTTATCATAGTGTTCTGACACGGCCATACGGAGCCGGTCATGCTAGCTAGTCATTCATATTTTCCAGGCAGAGTTTATATAGCTACAAATGTTTGATGGTGAGATTGCAAGGCTGCAAAATCTTCTATTCAGGAATCACACGACTTTCCGGAATTTCCCGATCAAATTCGCCTAAACGAGAATCGGTCGTCGCCGAGTGGCGGCTGCAATTGCTGATTTTGGTCGCTGTCCTTTTTTGACTTGTTTTTCTTCTTTTTTATTCATTCTTCACACACTTCACCTTCACTCGATTACTCCATTCTAACTTTGTAGTTTTCCTCTTAACATTACAAACTATCGAGAACACATCTTCAAGCGATATCGTGTCCGCAAACTTGTGAGGATTTGTAGTGTCTTCTTGCTCTTTACAAACTTCAAAAGCACTTCACATCGCAAGACGAGAGTGAGTACTGGTAGCTGCTAATGATTGCAAACAAAAGCCTTTTCGAATTCCGACAAATAATTTCAGAACGCATCAGTTCATGCACTGAAGTTGGTTAGCCTGACCGTCACTAATTGTCCGCTTCCGAATTCGCTCGTTTTATTTGTTTTTCGCAACATCCCGATTGTTTCTTCATGTGCATGTTCATTCTCCATGTTATATCTTGATAAATTGGAAAAATTCTTTGATTGTGCGACGTTTACAGTATCTACCCTCGGTATCACTGGGAGTGACGGGTGGTGGGTAGAACTCGGGTTCCGTGCATCCGGCTCGTTTGCATCTTCAGTTGTTTCACAATGCATCTTTAGTTGTTTTAGAATAGGAAGCGGTGCGAGATTAGATTCACGACATTTACAAGGTCTACCCTCGATATCACTGGAAGTGACGGGTGGTGGGTGGGGCTCGGGTTCCGCGCATCTGGCTCACTTGGACACTGCACCTCTTTCGCGAGTCTGCTCTCTAATCATTTTCTCACCACGAGCATGGGAAAGGAGCTTTGATCGTTAATCAAGCCTGGAAAATGACTGGAGAGCATGCTCGCGAAAGAGATGCAGAGGCAGGCGAGGCGGTCGCGCGGGACGTACGGTAACCACACGGCACTCAAACGGCTGGATTTTCCATAGAGCGGAATTATGATCAAAGCGGATTTGGTCACTTGATTTCATTTTGCTCTTTTAGTCATAAGATCCGGAGCAAACCTTCCTCAAATACACTTCGCGGGGCGGGTGTGTTACGACTTGTTGTTATCGATAGATAGTGATTGTACTGGTTCTTTGCAAAGCATGAGCCGCGGGGCTAGAAGTTGGTAGAGGGGTAAGCGAAAATGCTGATTATGATACAATGTTAGTTCCCAAGTATCCACTTAGGACCGTATGCACGTATATCCTCGCTGGGGAGGGGAGGATATCTGAGAGGGGATGCGTCATATCTCGCTACTCGTCGTATCTTTCTTCTTTCTTTTCTATCTTGCTTATGAAATTTCTCATACTTTTATACCTGCGCATAATGGATACCAGGTTACTGGCGCGATTGATTAGATTTTCACTATTTTTTTGTGATTTCTTGGGGATCCCTAGGGGATCCTCTGGGGATCACCTCTCAATTTTAATGCCTTTTATCTCCCTGAAAACTCAATGAAACGCTGTAAAATTGTACTGTGGATATACTACGGCGCTGCCAAAGATGATCATAGTAGAAATAAGTGAAATCTCAGGGTATCAATATCTTCCCTAGCTTGCGAGCCAGGGATCATATCCTCAGTACAGTTTTACAGCTTTTTCATTGAATTCTCAGATATAAATGACTTTGAAAATGAGAGATGATCCCCAGGGGATCCCCTTGGGATTTCTGGGGATCACACAAAATGGCAAAAAACTAATATCGTATAGCAGTAACTTGGCATCCATTATGCGCAGGTATAAGGGTATACGAAGCTTCATAAGTAAGATAGAAAAGGAAGAAGAAAGATACGTAGAGTAGCAAGATATGAGGCATCCCCTCTCAGATCCCCTCCCCTCCCCAGCGGGGATGTACGTGCGTACGGGCTCTAATCGGCTTTACTGTTTTTTTTTTCAAATTTTGGGCTATGGGACTGGGAGTGGTAAGATGGGTAAGTAAATGTGCTGATCACGAAAACATGATGGGGAAGGGAGTTTAACATACGGGGACTTGACGAAAAACTTTATGACCTTCGGATCGAAGGTAATGAAAAAACTTCGATGGATAGTTGAAGTACAAGAAAGACCTCGACACAAACAGGAAGTCTCTAGTCACGTTACTGCACTGACAAGGGAATGGTCAGAAGTCGAAGTGGCCAATCCATACAAGCTGCTTAGCATTCGATGCAGCATAAAATGCTGATTTCAAATCTGTCTTCCATAACTGCAGAGCGCCTTTCTAGGCGAAGTTATGAGCAGCTTTACTGCGAAAAAACCGTATACAAAAACTGTCACATTATCGCTCTTTCAGCTCACCTCTAGGTACGGTCATATGAAGTGACCCAGTTGCATGTTTCTGTCCAACACTGAGCCTAGAATGGCTTTGTACGACCAAGTTTGCATTTTACATGCACAATTTCTTAGCAAAATAATGGCCTTCAACGGCTCATAAATTCGTTTATAAAAGCGCTTTGCAGATAAAGAAGACAGATTTAGAGTCAGTGTTTTATGCTGCATCTAATGGTATGCAGCTTGTATGGATTGCCGCTTCGACTTCTGACCATTCCCTTGTGAGATACGCATACAGTGAACAAGCCAGCATACTTGAAATCAACTGAAATCGAATCAAAAAACTTGAAATCGGAATACATGACAGTGTGCAAGAACCGAAGATGCGAGCAGTAGAACTAAGATTCCAACACTTCAACAGCATATTGTCTTTGTCTTTCTTGTAACCTGTTGACCAAATATTGAGACGGCGTCCAGTCTTCGCGTGCCATGAATCGTGTATATAAATGTAAGTATGACCGAAGAAGGATGATGATGCTGCAATGGGTGTGAAGAAGTATGAACTCAATGGTGACGACGAGCTGTACAACTTTTTTAGTGCTATCTTTATTATTTGCGTCAAATTCTATGGCACTGCCTTTGGTCTAAGGGTCGCTTGCATTAACATCCCTGCTGGGGAAGGCATCTCAGAAGGAAAAATTTTGCATCTTAAAGGCAGCGTGCAGGCAAATCTGGACCTCCATGCGAATACGATCACGGGCATACATGTGTAAAGGGGATAATGTGTTCCTACCCCTTGACGCCTGGGCCGGAACCCAGCTGACCCCCCCTTCACCCATGACCGATGAGGAACTTGGAAGAAATGAGACTAAGAAATCAACATTTTAAGCAAAATTATACAACTGGCATTAATAAGATCAAATTTCGTGTTGATTGTGTTGATTCTCAATATTATTATTATGATTATCAAAAACTTGATTGTGCAGGTTTATTGAGAGGCACGTCGGAAATTTGCCGCGTATTGTTCACTTCTAGAAAATGACGAAAAAGCCTAGAGAAAAGTTTACGTGTGAAGCCTTCGTGTATGTCAATGAAGTTACTCACGTATTTGCTGAAATAATAAGTGAAGTAATAAATGAACTTTGATGATCGGTGCGTAGTCTGACAGAGATCGTAACGTTTGCGTAGAGAAGAAGGTGCAGCCGGGGACACGTATTACATCGAGGACTTAGTGTAATCAGGGTTAGTCTTACTGTCAAAATGATATAGCTACGAGGATCGTGGAGTTCTACAATCCGCCTTCTTGGACGATGATATGGATGAGGAAGGACAGCCAGAAATGCATTTTTCTACGTTGGTGCACCATACAAGAAGAGGAGGAAACCGGATGTGATTACAGGCGCTTGATTATTGGAAATTTTTGTTTTTTATCGAAGAAGATTGAGGGACTCAAAAGATCTTAGACAGGAAACTCAGTCATGATTAGTCTAGTTTAGAAGTCTAGTTTCCATCCGCTTTCATAAAACATACAGCTTGCCAGGAAAAGGGATTTTTCCTGCCAGGTAGAGATAGTTTTAATCATTCTTTCAAAATTGAATAATTTTTTTTATAAAAAATTGTGACTTTTTCATATGAGAAGATAGGAGAGTCTCTAGCTATACGTTGACTTACTCTTGCTGAAAGCTTTCAGAAAACATATAGTTTGCCAGGAAAGAAAAGATTTTCCTGTAAGGTGAAGGTGGTCGTAATTGTTTTCTAGAATTAAAGGATTTTTTTCAAATTTATAACTTTACTATATGAAAAGCTAGAAGAGTCTTTTGCACTTTATTGGAATCCTCTCGTCGTTCGCCTTCCGAAAATATGTAGGTTAGGAAAAAAGGAGATTTTCCTACCTGGTGAAAGGGGTCGATGTCGTTTTTCCGGAAGTAAGCTAATTTTTAATTTGAAAAAATTTGTAACTTTTTTATATGAGAAGCTGAAAAGGTGTTCAGGTGTTCGTTGAATTCCTCTCGTCGTCTGCTTTCAGAAAATATATACGTTGTGGGGAGAAGGATGCTAAAAGTACGTGGTGAAAAGGGGAGAGGGACATGGTATAATGGGCATGGTCCTTTAGCTCCTTGAAACGACGCTTTTGGAGTACAGAAAGAAACATTTCCATTATACCAAGAGGAATTCAATGAACACCTAAACACTCTCCCAGCTTCTCATATAAAAATGTTATAATTTTTTCAAATTAAAAATTAGCTTACTTCCGGAAAAACGACATCGACCCCTTTCACCCGGTAGGAAAATCTCCTTTTTTCCTGGCAACCTACATATTTTCGGAAAGCGAACGACGAGAGGATTCTAATAAAGTGCAAAAGACTCTTCTAGCTTTTCATATAGTAAAGTTATAAGTTTTAAAAAAATCCTTTAATTCTAGAAAACAATTACGACCACCTTCACCCTACCGGAAAATCCTTTCTTTCCTGGCAAACTATATGTTTTCTAAAAGCTTTCAACAAGAGTAAGTCAATGTATAGCTAAAGACTCTTCTATCTTCTCATATGAAAAAGTCACAATTTTTTATAGAAAAATTACTCAATTTTGAAAGAATGATTAAAACTATCTTGAAAACTGTTCTTGCACGTATCAATAAAGATAAAGATCTCTACCTAGCAGGAAAAATTCCTTTTTTCTCCTGGCAAGCTGTATGTTTTCTGAAAGTGGATGGAAACTAGACTTCTAAACTAGACTAGGCTAATCATGACTGAGTTTTCCCTCTAAGATCTTTTGAGTCCCTCAATCTTCTTCGATAAAAAACAAATTTTTTTCAAATAATCAAGCGCCAGTAATCATATCCGGTTGTCCTCCTCTTCTTGTATGGTGCACCAACGTAGAAAAATGCATTACTGGCTGTCCTTCCTCATCCATATCATCGTCCAAGAAGGCGGATTGTAGAACTCCACGATCCTCGTAGCTATATCATTTTGACAGTAAGACTAACCCTGATTACGCTAAGTCTTCGATGTAATACGTGTCCCTGGTTGCACCTTCTTCTCTACGCAAACGCTACGATCTCTGTCAGACTGCGCACCGATCATCAAAGTTCCTTTATTGCTTCACTTATTATTTCAGCAAATAGGCGGCTCTGTCACGCACTAACCGGGGTCGTTAGTGCGAGGGCGGATGTCCAGGTGGGGAACGAGAGAGTAATAGAAGAATTTATTAGAAAAAATAGAAATAGGAGACAATTACAGCAACTAAGACAACGGCCGGGCGGCCTTATTTATAGCCGCCACGGTACAAAGTGGTCAAGATTAAATTCAATAGTCATTGTCTATGGCCTATAGGCACCGCGGCACCCATCCTTTACATGCCCCTCCGTCGGTAAGAGTCATCCCGACTCTTATAACACTCCTTCCATCAGCGT